AAAAGGCCTTGAACAGCTGCATTTTGTTATTACAATTGGCGTGCTACAACGATGTGAATGATGTAATTGTTTTGTTGTTAATGGTCTGCATGTAAACTGCAGCTGTTTCTTTGTCGCTTCAGAAACAAAACATTGTGTCTCGTCCAAAGATGAACTTTTCTGTTCACAAACACGAGCAGCAATAGTTGATTACTTCATCTAGAAACGGATTATTCTAGGACATACACAGTGTTAACTAGAGAAATTTCATTTACTGCAAAAATTCAGTGTGAATGCTTATTGCTGAAAAACAGCTGATATTAGCTAAAAACATGCTGAAATGTAGCTGAAATGAAAGAACAAGCCTACAGTAGCAGAAGAAAGTAGAAAGAACACATATTTGCTGAATTAGGTTTAAATAAATAAATAAAAATGAGGAAATCAGCTAAAAAAAAATTGCTGCAAAACAGCTAAAACGGTAGAAAGAAGCTTAAACTACCAGAAAGAAGTGGAAGGACATGAAATGAGCTAAAGAAAAAGTGGAACTAGCTGAAAAAGCTAAATTTAGCACAAAAACAGCTAAATAGTAGCTGAAATAGCAGAAAAAGCTGAAATTAGCAGAAATAGGCTGAAAGGAGCATAACAAGCTGAAATTAGTAGAAAGAAGCTAATTAGGCTGAAAGTCCCAGAAATTACAACAAAAACTTGAATTTATCTGAGAACAGCTGACATTAGCCAAGAAATTCTAAAAAGTTAGCCGAAAAAGTAGAACAAGCAGAATCAAGTGGAAAGAACACAATTTTCCATATTGGACTGAAATAAGCAGAAATTAGCAAAAATAAAAAAAGGGGGAACTTATTTGGAAAAGCTGAAATTAGAAAACAAATAAATAAATAAACCCAGCTGAAAATTAGCTAAAAAAGCAGAAAGAAGATTAAACTGCCAGAAGTGGAGAGAGCACATTTTAGCTGAATTAGGCTGAAAAAAGTCGAAATGAGTTCAAAAAATGTGGAATTAACTGAAAAAGTTGAAATTAACATAAACAGCTAAATAGTAGCTTAAATAGCAGAAAATGCTGACATTATCAGAAATCATCTGAAAGGAGCATAACAAGCTGAAATTAGCAGAAAGAAGTTAGAAGAAGAACAAAAATGTAGTTAGCAGAAATAATGTAAAAGGAGCTCAAAACAACTGAAAAAAAAACAAACCCCAGCTTCAATTAGCTGAAAGTAGCTGAAAAAATGTTTAAATTTGCCCAAGGAAGCTGAAAGAAGCTAAACCAGAATAAAATGTGAAAGGAGCAGAAAAAGACTGTAAACAAATCTAAAGATACGAAGGACGTAAAATGAGCTTAATTCATTTTCTGAGGAAAAAAAAAAGTGGCAGAAAAGGCTAAATATTTCAAAAAGCTAAAGCTGCACCAATACAAAAAGTCATAGCAGGACTGTTCTGAACGAGCTGAACGTTTTGATACGATTTGTTGAAATAGCACAAAAATTGTGAAACGAGAAAGATGCCGAAATACGTACGGAAGAAAAATGGATCACAATAGTGTGAATGCTTCATAAACATTCACACAATAACAAAAGCCATTTTAGGCTACACTGGCAATCCTTCCTGCTTTCTTTCTGGCACAAAGCAGCAGAATTACACAATAATCCCAGAACTAAACTGTGGTGTAAACAGTGTGGAAAACACAAAACCATTGGCCCTGAACGATTCCAGTCTAACTTGTACCATAAACCTCTCATTATTCCAAAATAGCACACCACAGTCTGTGCTGTGCTATTGTCACAAACACCGTGACAAGCACGAGCTGGAGGCATCGTCTTCACTAAATAAGAATTAATCAAGGTTCTTCTCGTTATAGTGCTCAATTCTCTAAGCCCCATCTAATGAATGTGACTCAAACGTTTAGTCAACGCCCTGAGGCTTCTGTTGTGACTTGGCTCTATATAAATACACTGAAACAATGACCCTCTGCTGGGGTGAATGAACAAAATCAGAACCAATAAAGTGTAAAGTTAAACACATACCGATGGATAATGTAGGATTAGTGGTGAGCATCAAATGTGGTGTAGTAAAATATGACTTTATGACTCAGTAACAGAAATAAATTAATGTCTGTTATTTTTTCATAAGTGGTAAATACGTGACTGAAATGATGCAAACATTTGTTTCCAGCTGTCTGATCCAAGCAGATGATAGTTATAAGTGTACTTGTTGCAGCATATTTAGCTTGTAAACAACATTGATGCAACCTAAAATTAATACTTTTTTCCATTCATGTGATTACTATTATTACATTTATGTTTATGGGGTTCAGTTAGGGATAAATCAGATTGTTAGAAGTGGGGTTCTGTGTGGACAATAAATATCTTACCTGATGCAATTACTGTAGTTCTGTGAATACTGACGAGGTAATGGCTAGTGTGAGCAGGGCAAAGACCAAAGTAAAATGGTACAGCCTTAAAACAATTTCAATTTCGAACGCATTTCATATGAGCAGTGTTTAATAAACCCTAATATAGCCATTAGTTTTACAATCAAGATTTATTTATGCACAAGTGGTTGCAAATATTCTATGAATTTTGGAGATTGGAGTTGTTTTGAGGCAACAGCGCTCTACTGTGGCTAGCCAATAGCCTCTCAGAATAAAACTTTTATTTTTTCCCAAACTGAGGCTGTTGAAGGACCTATCTACAACAGGTAAGATATTTGTAGTTTGTAATATTTTCACAAAGCCCCACTTTAAGATCTGAACTATCTTAGTAAACATTTTCTTGTCAAGAAAGCTCCTGGGATTGGCAAAATTAAAATTATGGCAATAAAGAACATTTGAAGCCTGTAAAAAGACTTTGATTAGTAAAATATGATGAGTTTTAAGCTTGAAGTTTTAAACTAAATATATAAAATTTGATGGTTTAAAAGAATTCCCAAAGTGGGAAAAAAATACCAAAAATACTTTATTCTTTTGATACCAGCTCACTGTGCACACAGCTGGGACTGTTAATGTTCCAGACTGGGTACAAAATGTTAATTCATGCTGTAAACAGGTTGTCGGTTCAAGCAAAGTCAAAGAGGTGTAGCTACACCTTTTTCCCTTTCCTCTGCTCTGTGACTTGAAAGGTTTTGCTTAAACCAAGGAGATATTTACAGGGTGGTAGATTGTACTGCCCTAACGCACCAGAAACCCTAAAAACACAGAACAAACACAGAACATGAAGGTGTTACCTAAATATACAAGCTATAAAAATCAGGAATAAATGAAGAGTGTTCAGCAGTACACGCTGCTCTTCCATTCCCAGTACGGAACTTTGCAGTGGAAAAGTAAACATTTTTTTTAAAATAAATGTTCTACTCAGGCATCCTAACTAAATCCAGTAAAAAAATGCTGTCCTGGTGTGACTCGGCTAATTCCACCCCCCACATCAAGTATAAACAAACGTGAAGCTCTAGTCTGAACACTTCTTCTCTTCTTCGCTGCCAAGCTCATGTTCGTTCGGCTCTGTCATTAATTTGTAATGGAAACCCCCTGTGGCACCTTGTTTTAATAACTCACTTTCAGACGAGCACAAGGAATGCCTCGATGTCCTCTCCTGCCCTCACTGCCACGTTCACAAGCCCACGAGCCTGAGTTTCCATCCGGTGCAGAGGCGTTCTCTGCAGCCAGACAGGATGGTTTTCCTACACTCTGAGTCATCTCCAAAATCCCCCCCGTCTGCAGAGTGGGGGTCTGGTGTGGATAGTGGTAATCTAATACTGTAGGACTCAAGCTTTACAGCAGAATTTTGTAAAACGGGCAACAATAAAATATACATAATAAACAAAAGCAAATAATTAGGGATGCACAATATTATCGGCATGGTATCGGTCGATATTAGCGATAACGATAAATATCGGACATCGGTCATCCCATCAAAATAACTCACCGATATAAAAGGCGCTGTTTTTGTATGAGAACCCAGTGACGAGGACGCCTGCAGCGCCAGCACAACGTGATGACATCAAGTGCGCCGTTGAGTTTAGATTTGTGACAATTTACAAATTTGCACTGTTCGAGTGTTGTCATTGTGTTAGCGACATAAACATAATCCAAGTTGAAGCGTTGCATCATTTTCAGCCCCCTTTCTTGCATCTGCATTTGGTAGCAGGCCAAATTGACAAAGACCATGCAGAATAATGTAGTATTTTAATTCCACAGCAGAGAAAGCTGTGTAGTCTCTGTATGTAGGTCTAGGGGAAATAATACCAGTATTGGTATCGGTTATCGGACAAATAAGTTTTAACATACTGGCATATCGGAGGGGGACCGTAGAGTGTGTTCCAACTACAGGGAGATCACGATCTGAAGCCTCCCTGGTAAGGTCTATTCGGGGTGTTCCGGACACGTCCCACCAGGAGGAGACCCAGAGGAAGACCCAGGAAACGCTGGAGGGACTATGTTTCTCGGCTGGCCTGGGAACGTCTAGGGATTCCCCCGGAGGAGCTGGACCAAGTGGCTGGGGAGAGGGAAGTCTGGGCCTCCCTACTTAGCTGCTACCCCCGCGACCCGACCCCGGATAAGCGGAAGAAAATGGATGGATGGCATATTGGATATCAGTCAAAAATCCAATATCATGCATCCCTATAAATAATACAATGTTTTACTTTATTAATTGTGCATTTATGATAGTTTGGCTGCTCTTTATTCAAGCTACACAATATGGGTTTCCAAGAAAACTCTTCCAGTTGAAACAAGATCAGACATTTAACGCACTTTAATAGTTCAGTCCAGTTCCCGTAAGGAGATCTGGACGCATTTGAAGAAAACCTCTCAGTTTGAGCTCTGAAGCAGTTTCACACAGATAAGAGTTTTCTTTCATCTGTAGCCCAACCTCTGTTACCTAATCTGTGAATCTGTACAGATTGCATGCATCTGCTTGAACCATGTTTGGATGCTACCGGACTGTTAATATTTATGTGACTGTGTGCGCACTGTGTGTGTTTCACTGTGGGTGAGCTCATTCATGTGATCCTACCTCCACGCTGTTGACTTGGCTTTGGAGGAACTTGAAGCCTGGAATGCGCTTCTGGGAGCACACCACCCCGACGTCTTCTGAGTGTTTGCAGTCAGACACCCCAAAGCCATTGGACTCGCACAGAGCCAGGCTCTTCTCTGAACCGGTGCAGTGCACGTTGTCCAGCCAGATTCGACCTGAAACAAGAGAAAAGCAAAAGAGAACAATGTATAGTTTCACAGATGCGTCTCTTGTTGCCCTGCTTTGTTTAAGCTGGTTTTAAACAGATAAAACCAACAAACCTGATGACTTTTTGTTGATAGATTTGTGATTAAAAGTAGTAATAGATAAAAGTTTCCCTTTTAGTTACACAGTGTAAACCAAATATTTTTTAAACTTATAAGTAGACAAGCATATATCTTATCTCAAACAGTTTAAATGAATACTTGGCATGATATTTACATTTATTTATGAGATAAATAGAAAATGTAACAAAAATAGAATACGACCAATGTTTTTCTTGACAATTTGTTGATTGAACTGCCAATAAAATAACTAAAAAATTTTATTGTTTGCAAAACAAGTACATTATTATTATGATTTCCCCCTTTTTTTGATGGCAAGACTCTTTTCATTGAGCTACATGGAAGCTAAAATAAACAGAAGTCAAGATTAAAAAAAATAAACACTTTCTTGAAAAAGTCCAAATCTGAGAAGTGTTTAAATATCATATTTGACAGCTTACGTTGGTGTCACGGCCCTTTGACACGTATTTGATCATTTCTAGCAAAGCCTAGTCACCAAAGACAGAAACTTACTCACGTGGAGAGACTTTTGATCTCTGACATAACCTTCAGTCAAAACGAGGCTAATAAATGTTGTCACGGCTGAAACGGATCATCTGTTATTCAGCTGGCTGCTCAGAACCAGCAGTGAGGAATAAAACACATAACTGGAAGAGCAGCCATGAAAACCTCCAACAGGCTGCTCATCATTCTGACATGCTCAGAGGAACATTGTGTTCATACCAGCAAAGTGACTGCACATTTTTATGTCAAACAATCACTTAACGTTGTGTTAAACCTAGATTTTGGGGATTTTATGGGGGGGCTAACAAGCCAATGAAAGGAGGAAGGAGCATAGTTTACATGGAAGCATCAGTTTTAATAATGAGCTTTTACTGCCGCTTTCAAAAAGTCAGCCAAAGAAATCTTCAGATCAAACCAAATGAGACTGAAGATAGCGCTCCCAAAAGGTTTGAATAAAATAACAACTGAAGTAGCAAATAATGAAGAGGTACAAAATGATGCTCGTTAACCTTCCTCGTGCAAAAATACTCCAAAAAGGATGTTGTTATTTTTGTTACGTGTTAACAGCATCAGTTCAAAACAGCTGTGGGTGTCCATCAATGATTTTTAATAAGACAAGAAAAGAAAAATCTTGTTTATTTATTTTATGACGGGTTTCATCAGTAAAAAGAGAAAAAAAGCAATAAATAAACAAGAAAAGTGTCTATCCACACATTTGGCTTCAACACACTACCTCCCCATAACATTTAATAAAAGCCTTTCCCTGCTCTTCCATCAACAGATATTAGTGGACAGAGGATTAACATTACAAAAAGTACTGAGTAAAACCGGGCGGCACGGCAGTGAAGTGGTTATGCTGTCGTCTCACAGCAAAAAGGTTGCAGGTTTGCCTCCCAGCCATTCTGTAAGGAGTTTGCACATCTCCCCATGCATACGTGGGTTTGCTGTGTGTACTACAGTTTCCTCCCACAGACTAAAAACATGCTTGTTGGGTTCATTGGTAACTCCAAATTGTCCCCAGGAACCACTAAAATAAATGAGCAAAACCAAAACTAAAGGCTTGAATTAGCAAAGTCATAACTAAGAGCTAAAGTTTGCTTTGAATAACTAAATCAAAGTGAATTACTCTCCTTCTGAGATGGCTAACAGCATGTGAGTAACCCAGAGCGGTGCTTAACTGAGGTCCTGTCTGTATTTACAGCTACTGACATACAGTCACCACCACAACCAGCAACTACATGTTCACAGAGCTGGGAAAGTCATCAGTGTTTCCATGGCGATGGAGAAACTATACATGACGGTGGAAAAAAAAGGAAAAAGGAGGTGAGATTATGTCTGCGTGCGTCTGGTTTACACATCATGTTTCCAGTGGTTCCCTACTCTGAACAGACTGACGTGTTCCAGCTCACGTTTACTGTCTAACGAGGAAACCAACATCATGGAGGGATTAAGAATCAGACATGGGAAACCTGCATCTCGTTCAGAGATTACCGTGGAACATGCACAGAGATGTGCTTACTTTAAATACATGCCATTGGATGGATGACAGATCACCCACATAAACATCCTTCTAACCCTTACCTCAGTTCTTAAACGACTGCATCAATTTTTCTTTTTTTAGTGCAACTTTAGGTTTTGACATTACTGGACACAAGCAGACACTATTTTCTTACCGTCTCCTTTTCCAAACTTGGCTGAGGGCAACCAGGACACAGCTTCCATGAAGCCCAGCTCTCTGCACACCACTTGGGCTGCGTAGATGGAGAAGTCATCATCACACACCGTTCCCCACTCGCCGTTGTAGAAAACTTCCACCCGGCCCTCATAATGTTTCCTCTTCTCTCCCGCTAGACGCAGTTGGATTACAGGGTTGCCAGATTGGGCATTGCACAGCCCCCCAATACACAACAAGGTTGTGGAGAGACAAATGATGGAAAGTGGGCCCAGCATGATGCAGATCTACAAACAGACAAAATAAGAATATTTTTTACAATAAGCTCCAGTTCATTGTTTTTTTTTTTATTCCAATGAGTTGAATTGTACACAAGTATTTGTAGTGTGAGTACTTTTAATTCAAGGAAACAAGTGGCATTGTTAAAACTTTGATTTAGCCATCATAATCAGGCTTCCAAATGCTTCTGGGCTACCGTGCAAATTACAAACTTTGTTTGGCTGCAATCCAAATTTCAAAGGAACGAAAACAAAGGAAGTTTAAGTTTTTTAAACAAGAAAAAAGTATTCTACTGAGCAAACACGTTCCTGTTAATCAAACATTTATTGCAGTAATTTATTGAAAATATTGAGCTTTCGGTAGCTTGGAGGTCAGTGCAGTCGTCTCATAATCCTGAGGCTACAGGTTTGATCACAGAAGACATCCAGAGTCAAACAATTGGTTAATCTTTTATACGAGTTGGCTCGCTGTGAAGGGAGCAGCTGAAAAAACCCAACAATGTTTAGCTTCTAGAAGAAGAACGAGAGAAAAATAATAATTTGAGAAAGTTTGGTGAAGAAAAAAGTTAACAGGTGTTTTTAAATCTGTCTGACGTGCACACAGAGAGTAAATCTATGGCTCCTGCAGGAAGGGCGCAGCTACTGTCTTCATCTGTTCATATTTGCCTTCAGGCGGATCTGAACTCTCTGAACTTCACAACAGAGAGAACATTGATATCAATCTTAATATTTCATGACAAACTATGAATGCATGAAAACTGAGATCAACCGCCTTGAAGAAGGGATTCTAGGGAGGCCACTGGAAGGTCGTCTCCAGAGTGGACTGAGTTGACGTCACGTTGAAAACCCAACAGACTGCAGGCGTTTGTGTAAACACCCCTCGAGTCAAAGGTTAATACATTGTTGAACTCTGTAAGGCATCACCGAGGAGGCTGAGAGTGAAACGTGTGGTTCAGCTCCTCAAAAGAACAACTCAAAAGAGCGCAGCAGATATAAATATCCAATGTCATTTATAAGTTAAAAAAAAGTTATTAAAAAGGAAAAAATTAATTACATACAACCAAATCCTGTTTGTACATACCTTATTTTCTTATTTATCAAAATTAACCAGTTACTGTATTTTTTGTTTTAAAGTAACAAAAAGTCAAACCTAATAAGGCTTTTTTTAATCAGTTTATTTCCTGATGTTGGTTTATGGTTTCGTTGTATTGACTGGACTGATTTTAATTTATTTTTATTTTATAATTTCACTTCTATATATTTTATTCATTCAAGAAATCCAACACAAGTAAACGAGCTAATGAATGCCAAATCTAACTATACATATTAAAATAAAAACATTAGTTTAACCAAGCTAAAACGAATCCAACTCAGCTCTAGTAAAACATTTAATAAGCTTTGAAACATGATCATTTAAAACATTACGGTACAGCAACACGTTTGCTTCATTATGAAAGAAAACCAAATGAACGTGAACTTCTCCCCCCACGTCAGTCCTCCAACAAGTAGGCCTGTCACGATCATACATTTTGCTGGGCGATTGTCTCAGAAATTATTGCAATAAACGATAATAGTTTGAAATTTGACAATAATTAGTAATTATTGTCAAACAAAGTTTTTTTTTCCAAGGTCGGCGTGTTAGCTTAGCTGCTTTTAACCATCCAAAAACGTGATTTTGGATGGTTAAAATGGATTTTAAAAAGAAAAGAGACAAGGAGGGGTCAGTGAAGAGCACTGGAGTTGAGCTTTGTGTCATCCAGTGTCTTCAGTAGAAAGAGACATGAAGAAACGATGAAGCCGATAAATGAAAATGAGGTTGATCATTTTCATTTATCATGAGATTAACTGATTTATTGTTTATTGCGACAGTCCTGCCAACACGTTGTTTTTAATTACTGAGAGTACATCATATACACTTGGATTCTGCATCAATGTCACAGTTTTTTGTCTTGTGACAGCAGCACCAGCAGCAAGGAGACAAAGTTTCTTACTCTAAGTAGTTGTACAATAAAAGATGGCTGGACAACTGAGTGCATAACAGGACGTTTACTGCTTTTTGAGTCAGTGGTTATGAGGTTTGCATTGTTCATTTCAAAAGTGTAAACGTACAAATCCAAACTAGAAACTGTCAGGACCAATAGAGAAAAAGAAGCTAGTATAAAATGTGCTAACGTGATTATTTTTTGCCAATTTACTCTTGTAGATTTTGTCTTTAATTAATAAAAAAATAAATAAGTATGTAGCAACTTTTAGTTACATTAAGGAATAAAAATGCAGCATGGTAACGTTTAAGTCATAAAGAGCAGGTAATAAACAGAAACAACAGTTATAGTACCTATAGCTAGCTTAGTTACAATATATCAATACATCACACTTTAACGCACGTGCGACACAACTTGCAGCCAAAGGAATGTTAAAAATTAAAAACTCTTACTGTGACCGAGAACAAGCTGCCCACTACGTCCAAGTCACCGACTGTGAGGTTTCTAACCTGTCAGAGAGAGGATGGGTGAAGCACTGGGTCTTTGTCCCTTAAGTACAGTCCAGATGTTTCGGGGCTCCCTCTCAGCTGGCTGCTCCTTCCCCGCCCACTCCTCGGCAAAGAGAACAGCCAATCAGAGGCCGCCTCAGCATCCTGGCCCCGCCCCCTCCGGCCCAGTCGCCAGGGTTACAAAACAGGCGTGCTGCTGGGGATGTGATCCAACCTCCCATCCTGTGTGCCTCCCTCGTGAGTTCACTTGGAAACAATTTTCTAATGTGGCTCTTCTTGTTTTATGCTGCCATTAAAGCACATACCAACGTTTAGATCGAGATCTTTAAAAACCGTTGTTTTAAATTAGTTGATTTTTACAAGTTTTTGCTATAGTAAAAAAAAAAAAAAGTTACTTTTTTAAGTCAATTTAGTGTTTTTGAAGCCAAACTGCCCTCATCCCATAGTTTCATCATAGCTCGTTTGTATGAGTTCAGATCAACAATAACATAATAAGGTGTTCATCAGTAAACAACCACGTCTATTAATCAAATTCACGAGTATCTTTCGTAACCTGAACTTCTAAGAAACAACTCGAGGTGACAAGAAGCAGCTGTGAAAAAAAAAAAAGATGGTATACAAATAAAACCAGTAACTCAATGATCATTGCGTCTGATGATGAAGAACAAGTTTTTTTCAGTTTGACATGAAACTTTTAGAGATGGAACTGGAACGCTGAACTAGAAAAATGGTAAATAAATGAAGTAACTTTGTAGTATTTTAGCCTCTATTGAGTAAAATAAAGATGGAATTAGGGCAAAAAATAATACTGTGGTTTGATTCATTCCCTTGTTGGGCTCCTGCTATTGTAATCCTGCTCTGCTTTGGGACTCCACCATGTGGACAGATTATGCAGCAAAGACTGACTCCCGATTGTAGCAAACTAATGATAAAATAGACAAAACTCTATACAAACCTTTAAATAAAATACTGTGTATTGATGTATTTTAATATTTTATTGCAAAAAATATGCACGAGACACGAACCTCCATTACAGTTCAGCAACAACAAACCAGAAGCTGCGGCAAGTAATTAATCTGTCTGACGTTATTTTAAATATATATATATTAAACCAACTATTTCTTAAACATTGATGTGACGTTTACAGACAAATAAAAAACCCACTGGTTTCTAAAAAGAAAGATGCTTGAAGTGAACATTCTGAAAAAAGCTACATTTAGTGAAACTGTCTGTTCAAACAGAAAAAAAAAAAAAGTGATTTTATAAAGACAGTTGCTTGTACTGTTTGAGGACATATATTGAAATAAATATGGGATCAGAACGTTCAACGGTAAGATCTTTGGCTAAATTTTACCATAGCAAAATTTAAAACTTTAACAAATTTAAACACATTTGAGGTGCTATTATAGAAAACATCTTCACCTGCTTCTTCCGTTCTGGGTCACGGGGGTCACTGGTGCCCATATCCAACAGTCACTGTGTGAGTCGGGGGACACCCTGGACAGGTCTCCAGTCCATCACAGGGACACATAGAGACAAACAACCATTCACTCTCTCACTCACACCTAGAGACAATTTAGAGTTACCAATCAGCCTAACATGCATGTTTTGGTCTGTGGGAGGAAACCTTTGTTGGGGCTTTAATCCACCCTCCATCATGTATCGGCTTAATGTTTACAGCTTCAATAGTTGTGAACAAAGGCAAGAGGATTTTATTCAATCATAACCATTTATTTAGGAATGCACAAAATATAGTCAGTAACATACACTTTCATTTTACAAATTTTAGCAACATAACTCTGGATGTTCTTTTAATAAAATATACACTGTACCATATCAATGGATGTGCTTTGAAGAGCAGCTTTGAGCTGATTTAACACCAGTACAACAGGACGCGGAGTCACACCAAAGTTCATTTCATCTTGATATTTGGCATCTGATTGTGCAGAAGTAAAGCACAACTTTTGTTCTTTGTTCTTCAAACCTAACTGGACAGGGCTGCAAATATGAATTAGTTCAAGCTCAGACCAGATGTTAGATGACAAAACATGATGGGCACGTACTCCGAAAAACTCGTTTCTTGTTGGTAAATCACCACAGGTGAAGCCATACAGAGTGCAGCCCCATTAGAACAAGCTCAGAGCATTATCAAGATACGAGAAATATACAGTACACAGAACACTTTGGCAGCAAAGTTCAGAACAGCACAAAGGAAAAAATTAATTTCTGCCTAAATAAAATAGGCACAAAAAAAGTCACACCAGCAGCATGTTGATGCGAGTAAAGCCAGAAAGATTTACATGGCAGAAGGTAATTTTGTTGACAATTAAATGCAGAGTCACAACAAAATAACATGGCACTCGTTAATATTACAGCATATTATCTGTCAGAACATATCATCAATGAATGCACTGTTACGCAACTCTGTGTGGTGCTATTCATACTTAGATTTGCAGAGAAATATATATATTTTTTGAGTAAACTCAGTGGTTTATCCTCAGTATTTTGATTAACCAAGATAAGTCAGCCTGTGAAACAAAAGAGACAAGTTCAAAGACCACCTATATGCGAACCAATTACAAAATAAAAGGCAGAAAAATATGAATAACCAGAAAACAAGTTATATCATTTTAGGCACTCAGAATAGATATTTGATTGTGTTCACACAGATTACAATGTAAATGTGCTGTGGTGAAAACTCTGTGCTCTCTTCTAACCTACATCGTCTTTACTTTGATCCCTGCAGAGATGCTGAATTACAAGATGAAAAGTCAATGGAAAACAACAAACTATTAGTTCAAATGCTCTCGTTTAAAAACCATCAAAAGTGATGCACAGCTTCATGATAACTTCATGAAAACAGCTTAATGTTGTCACTCCCATGAAAAAATATTGTCCTGGAAGCAAACTTCAATTTGAAAAGCAAAAGGAAAAAAACAGGATGTGAAACCATAATGTGTTTCTGTAAAATCATGTATAAACTTAAAATATAACTGGTCAACGTGTACAGAGTTTATATATATTCTTGCTGTAAGAAAAGTCCATGACTCGAGCTGAAGGAACCATCAAAGTGCCACGAAGTTGATTTATTCTGGTCCCAGTTTGGCGATCAGTTCGTCGCAGATCTTAGTGAGCTCTTCGATTTCTTGATTCTGCGAGAAACAGACAAAAATAAATAAATAAATAAACAGAGGTAATACTGACCTATCTGCACTGGATATTTTTCTGAGGTTTGAGGTTAGTTTCCATCGTTTTCAATTTAATGTAAATCTGGTCTTAGAAACTGAAACACTGCCCCCTAGTGTTGAGTTGCAGCAGCTTCAGCAGATGTGCAGTTACTATAATTTAAGCATTTACAAATGGTTTCACCACTAGAATCATCATCAGAATTCATTTAAAGTTTATTACTGCAAAGAGGGAAGTAAAATATTTTATACTTGTTCAAGTACAAGAGCTAAACACATTAGAACATATGTTTCTTCTTCCAAAGCGAGTCATCCTCCTCCATCTCACTCTGTCTTCTACGTCCTCTGTCCTTACTCCAACTACCTCCATGCATCCATAGCTCTCCTCTTTGTCCTTCCTCTTTATATTGTTCCTGGTAGCTGCATTTCTAACATCCTTCTACCAATACGTGTGTCTGATTTTACTGGATTTTGATGCTTGGAGTTGGTGGAAATCTGAATTGTTGACAAATTGTGGAGAAAGTGCCGAGCTTGGCAGCACTCAGGCTACGTGCGAACTATATGTGGTGCTGTATCAAGATGAGCAGGCTGATCCTTATCAGGACTGTGGAACTTTCTGGCGGTGTCCACGAACGATTGGAAGGAATAAATCTTGGAGAAGCTGTAGGCTCGACTTGGCGTGTTCGGAGTCGCCATGTGAGAATGTACTAGCGAGACTGTTAAGGCAGACACGGAAATTTACGAGTTCAGCCTGACCCAAACAATGTTGATATCTGAATCTGGACCTGGCTTTGGAAGGCGGTCAATCTCAATTTTCTCCTTGGATGTTATGGAAACAAAGACGCTCTGTCCCCCTCCCTTCCCCAAGGTCGTGGACCTGTGGCAGAGCTAAACTGAGCTGGCTGATAAACAAACACCTCTTATCAGGACTATGGCTGGGGGGAGGGGGCACTCTGAACTGTGCTATGCTACGACCTTCTCTCAAACTCAATGCCTCCAGTGGCATCCCTCGCCTCCCCTGGTGCAGCAACGTAGGAGATGCGAAGGCACTACCCCCTACCCACTCCACACACATATGTATTATGTCTATTTATGTTGCTTTGGTAGGTTTTTAATGCCTCAAACCGTGCCCTGTCAAGAACACGGTGTGAGAGATCTTTTTTTTATACCTCTCTCCTTATGTTTTCTTTCCTTTATCTTATCTAAGCAACAGGGGCAGCACATCTTGGAAGCTGCAGCCCCCTGTACACTTCTGTCCATCTGTAGGATGGCTGTACGGAAAGTAATGCTGTTGTACTTCACTGTGCAAGGACAGTAAAAAGCATCCTGATTCTGATCCACCAAGTCAAACTAAACAAGCAGCAGCAAGAATCAACAAGTTTTGTGGGAAGTGGTTAAAGGTCCTAACATTAGAGGAATGGTGCCGTCATTAATCAAATGAAACAAAAACCACAAATTGCAACAGATGTTTGATTTGTTTCCTGTTATAGTTCCCACATTCCACAGTTCATTTGATGTGAATGCAGCAGTGTTGAAACACGCTTTATCTAACTTCAAAAACCAAAAAGGTGAAACCACAAAGTTACTGAAAGGGATTTACTGTCGAGAATCTTTTAGCAGCTCTGTCTTATGAACATGGTTAAACAGAGTGGACGGATCATAATCCTTTTTGAGGCATCTTTACCTTCTGAAGAACAGCTCTTTCCAACGACTCCACCTTCATTTGCTCCTTCCTCAGGCTTGCATTCAGAGCGACACTCTCAGCGTTGGCCTTGGCACGAACCTGAGCTATCTCCTCATTAGCTCTGTTAGAGAGGAAGTGAAGAAGCCAATAGACACTAAATGAGATTCTGTCAAGACCAGACAAACAAGCTGTGAGTTAGGACTTAAATGACCGAATCACATAAACTGAATCTTACTTGTCCAGTTTCTCCTCAGCGTGAATTTTTAGCGTTTGATATCGTTGCTCCTCCTGCTTGATGCGCATCAAGTAGTCCTGGGCACACTTCTTCAGCACCTCCTCATTCTGTACAGATTTAGAGCATGTCAAAAGAGCAGGCCAAGCACATAAATCTGTACATCAGAGCATCATACTGACCTTCTTGAAGCCCTCCAAGACTCCCTTCATGTTCTCATACCTCCTGAAGAGATCAGCGAAGGAGCGCTCCACTGAGTTGAGATCAGCTACGGCCTGATCCCTCTCTAGAGTCAGCTGCATGACAGACTTACTGCAGGAAAGACTCTTCTGCTGCTGCGTATCCTCTGCAGACAAATGAATGAACATAAGCTCAGCATGCCTACTACAAATTAAAAATGGACGAGACAAAACTAACATTTATACAAGAACTTAAAAATAAATGTTAGCAATCAAGTTTAGATTTTCTTGTTTGCATGATTTTAGCCATAGACTTTTTAGGGAATGGAGCAGCATAGTGTCAGGAAAATATAAACTACAGGATTTTTCTTCTAGGCTACACACGCGTTTGAGTTTCTGAGTTCAGTATCCGGACCTCAGTTTGATCACTTTTTACTTCCTGAAGACCAGAGTGCAGGTAAAGGTCATACTGTGGGTCAAACAGCTCATCCATCCATCCATCATCTTTACCCGCTTTTTCTTTTTGGGGTTGTGGGGGTCACTGGTGCCCATATCCAGCAGTCACTGTGCGAGAGGCGAGGGACACACTGGACATGTCTCCAGTCCATCACAGAGACACAAGAAGACAAACAACCATTCACGCTCTCACTCACACCTAGGGACAATTTAGAGTTACCAATCAGCCTAACATGCATGTTTTTGGTCTGTGGGAGGAAACAGGTGTACCCGGAGAAAACCCACGCATGCACGGAGAGAACATGCAAACTCCACCCAGAAGGCCCCTGGACCGGGGTTTGAACCAGGGACCTGCTCGCTGAGAGGCAGCAGCTCTACCAGTTGTGCCACCGTGCTGCCTACGTATCCAATAAACTGGCCTAATTATTCTTTATTACTTCATAATAAGATACTTTATGAATTGTTTCCACAATTAAAAAGAAAACTCACATAAGCCTGTACATTTAATTGTTTGAATTTTTATAAAATTGGTTAAAAATGTATTTTTTTCTTCTTTAAATAAATCCAGTCTTTTCTTTTGCCCTAAAATACAAACATAAATATTAATAATAACGTGATTGTATTTTTTCTCATAATATCACACCTACTGGCTGAAAAAGCCCCCTCCAACTGGCTTAAAGTGGGCCATGGACAATCACTGTTTTAGCAGGTTTTGCGGCTCCATAAACATTTTATTTAGTGTGCAAAGGGGCAGAAATGTCTCTTTTGATCATAAAGGTTGCAGATCCCTGCTTTAAAGAAACACACCGAGGAGGCAGGATGAGCTACAAAGATGAACAAACCACCAGGTGGCAGTCACTTACCAATCATCTGTGCCACTGTTTTCTCATATTCTGCAACAATCTTCCTGTAGAACACATAACACTTGTTAAATTACCTGTAGATTTTTTTTAATTACTTATATTTTTATATGTTTTAATTCTAATATTCTGTAAATATATGGAAATTGTTAGAAAAGCACAGGAGTCATACCTCATTTCCATAACCTCCACTCTGCTCTCCTCAAATTTTCTCTTCCACTCATTAACCTCAATCTCTTTAGCGATAATCTGTTTTATGAAGATAGGAAAGCAGGATTAAAAATGTATCTAAACAAACACAAATAAACTTGTTAAAGTGTAAGTTCTTGTTTCAGTGTATGAAGGAGTGACGGACCTCCTCTCTGATCAAGGTGAGCACTGCGGCCTTGTCCATCTCACTCAGAGGAACGTCCTCCTGAGACAAAGCTGCTGACTCAGGAGTCTCACAGCTGCTCAGTTTCACTGCTTGGTGCACAAAACTCTCCCGCTGTGGAGAACAACGCATAGTTAGCCGATACAGAAACACCGCTAATATTCATGCAGTGAAAAGATGCTACACATAAATAATCCCTCTGGTCATTTCATTCATACCAGACGTGTTTAATTTAAAGGCTCGTGGAAGTAGGCTTATTTGTGGTATTGTACTTTTAGAAGAAGAATAGACTGAAACACAAGCAACCAAAATTATTGTACAGGAGTCCCTCGCTACTTCGCAGTTCGTTTATCACTGACTCGCTCTATTGAGGTTTTTCAAAATAAGATTGGGCATGACACAATTGGCTGATTGATGGATGAGCTGCACGATCGGCATGAATTTTTTTCTTTAAAATAAATTATTTAAAATTATTTAGCACCTGCTGCACCTGTGTGCAGCCCACAGCTGCAGAACAAGCTTCTTCCTGCAGCATGTTATATCTCCGTAGTGGAGAAATGGGCGTGGCCAAGAGCGCTGGCAGGTGACAGAGTGCAATATATATATATATATATATATATATATATATATATATATACTGTATATACTAAAATAAACTACTACTTACTACTTGTACTACTATTCCTACTTCACGGTTTTTCAATTATCACGGGGCTTCAGGGTACGGATCATTTGCGATAAACGAGAGACTAATGTACTCCAATTAATAAATAAATAAATAAATAATAAACTGGCCTTAATATGACTAGTTTACCTTCTAGAAAAAGAAAAACAAACAGTTGATACCAAAGAAAGCCGTATTGTTAAATTATTCATGTTGAACCTTACTGTCTCAGCTTTCAAGGTTTCCTTCTCCTCCAGGTGATCTGCAATGATCTCAGGACCTTTGAAGAAATAAAGCACACAATTTAATGACAAGTAACTGTGGATGTTATTAATCACCCTAAAGTAAAGTTGCTGCTGTAAATTAAAAACTCAAATTTTACTTGTAATGACATTAATGCATACACTGTCATGCATTCATTGGACTGGTCTGACGCATGCTTTATTCAACCTTTATTTAAACAGGTTACTTTACAAAGACATACAGTGTGTGGGAACTTTTTTTTCCCATAATGTAGTATTTCTAACTTTATTAAATTGTGTCCAGTATCTTTTTTTACTCTGCATACATGCTTCATTTTTCTTATTCATAAACTTTGACTTGTTTTTGTAGTTTAAGCCTCAAAAACTCAACAACATAGCTGCAGAAAAACTACTGTAATGTATTTATTTTTAAAATTATTTTCTGCATGACACTTTCCCATTGATTAACAATGACTGTAACTCACAGTGGACTCCTCTCTAAAGGTACAAAGTAATTTCTGTGTAAGTATTACTTACTGTCTACAACAGGTATTTCATTGGATGGTTGTTTTTTCACTGGTTTCATCTCACATTTGAGCTCCTCTCTCCCCTCCTGGCTGTCTGTTGTCTGACCATTCATGCCAGTGGAGGCCAGCTTCTCCTCGTCAGTGGCGTGATGAACTCGCTGAGTGATCTCCGGGGTCTGGGCCACCACTTCATCCTCGCCCTGGAAGTGTGAAACAAGTAATGACCTCTGTTTTAAAGATTTACTGGTCACACATAATTACACCTGCTTATAAAAACCTGTTCTCAGTGCATAAAACGCACAGGATGAAAGAGCCGGCAGGCGTAGTTTAAACAAGATCCAGACTTCATTTAATTTGAAACAACTGTGTTGAACAAAACAAATTCTGAAGAAATCTTGAAGGGTGCTAATGCAGCCTGAAAAACAAACATTCAACTGTCTTTTGTAAAGCAAATAGTTACTTTAAGACTTACTTTTGACTCAATCTAAGTGGACAAAATACTGATATTTTGATGTATGCATGTACATATCTACAAGATATGTAAATAAACACCCAGATTAAAAGAAACATTAAAGCTGCTGCCTTAGGGTCACCGTGGTAACCAAACGCCTGTATCTGTCACTCCTGTCTCTTACAGCGTTCTTTATGTAACAGGTAGACAGAAAAATTGACATGAAATTTGACATGAAAACAGACCGGAGGCAATGTGTTCAACATAATGGTACTTCCTCCAGTTATTTAACAGTCAACAACGGTGTACCACAAGGCTCAGCCTTAGGAGCCACCCTCTTTACAATCTACATAGGTAATGTTGGTAAAAACATCCCTAATGCATCCATACATTTCTATGCTGATGACACAGTTGTTTATTGTCGAGCTAAAACTGTTGCTAAGGCTTTCCAGCTTTTGAAATCTGCATTCAACATCATCCAGACACAGATTTGTTCCACCTCAAACTTGTCCTAAATGCCGACAAAACCAAAGGGATGCTTTTTTCAAATAGGAAGTTGGTCCCAGCAGTTCTTCCTCTGATTTCATCCTCAAACGATGTCCCAATTGAGTTTGTTGATTCCTATAAATATTTGGGTATCTTGGTCGACTCTCATCTCTCTTTTAAGCTCCAAGTGGAAAACTTGATAAAGAAACTGAAAGTTAAACTGGGTTTCTTTTTCAGAAACAGATCCTGTCTAACCCTGAATGCTAGAAAACACCTTGTGTCTGTGACTTTCCTTCCCTCCATTGATTACGGAGACATTATTTACATGAATGCTCCTACAAGAACCTGCAGATGTTGGATGCTGTCTATCATGGTGCACTAAGATTCATAACTGGCTGTGATTATCGTACCCACCACTGCACCCAGTATTCACTGGTTAACTGGACATCATTAACTTCACGCAGACTCTCTCACTGGTACATTTTCATCTTTAAATCTTTTCTTGGTCTGCTGCCTTCATACATCTCCTCCTACATGTCTCTGCGTGAGTGTAGCTACAGCGTGCGCTCTCAGGACATTATTACCTGCAGTGTTCCCTCAGTGAGGACTGAACTAGGCAAAAGGCCTTCTCCTACTCCGCTCCTGTTTCCTGGAATATCTTACAAAAAGATCTGAAGCTCTCGACCTTGACCTCTCTAAGTGGCTTTAAGAATCTGTTGGACTCCAGACATGTTCCTGTTTTTAGTTTTCTACATTCACCTTAGAATCTAGCTGTTTTTGTTACTTTTCTTTGTTTTAGCCATCCTATTTGTAAAAAAAATAATAATAATTGTATGACTTTTTATAACTGTTTATTGTTGTTGCTGTTGTCCATTGTTGTCATCATTCTTTGTTAAAATCAGGTCTCTCTTGTAAATGAGACCTCGAGGCTCGATGAGACTAACCTGTATAAATAAAGGTTGAATGAAAAGTCGCTAATCAAAGATTATGTCAAACGTGTAAGAACGATGAGCAAATAATAATTAAGATGCTTCAGTTCTCTTGCACTGGCGCCCTTTATTTTAACAGCACTGTAATGCAGAAAGCACCATGATGTCAGCTATATTGTGATTTTTTTTATATTTATCTCCAGTGAATTACAAAAGTGATATTGTTGAGGACACACAGACTAATATCTGACTGCAGAGTGATTTGATTAGTCAGGGATTTGTCACTGAGCTAAGACTGTACTGCAGAGACAGAAATGTTGCTGATGCCACGGTCAGCTTGTGTGACTGTGTGTGTGTTTGTGTGCGTGCGAGCGCAAGAGTGTGCTGAAGCCATTGGACTGGACAGCTGCTGAATAATGTACACTGCAGTGTCACGAAGATAAATCAGGGTCACCCGAGTGCTAAAATTACCTGATTGCACACATCAAGCACCAAGGACTCGCTTTCATCATATTTCTGTACTTTACAGGAGTTCCTGCAAAAACAAACACATGAAAATAAGAAAAGTCAGAAAAATCTGTGCTCTTTAAAAAAATAATATAATTGCACCTCTACCACCAAAAAGCAAGCTTTTATGTGCACTGTTGAATAGTCTGACATCAAATGAGGTTAAATGACGCAGTAATATAATTCTGCACCATGTTTTAAAAGATCACAAGATGGAGCAAATTAAAGAGCTGGTTTACGGAGGAATGGTCTTCCATCGCTGATACATGCATCGTCAACTGTCTAGCTCTAATGCAGCACGTGCCTGGCGAGAGTACAACAAGAAGTATGCATGGAAGAAATGAAGATTGGGTAGTGAGAGTACTTACAACAGAAAACAGAGAAACTTGACTTGCTCAGATGTCCTGAGGTCGAGAAAAGTGGACGAACAAAAGCAGAGGTTTGAGTTGCGTGACACAGAACAGGAGGAAAGATGGAGGATGAAGGGAATAAAGCAAGAAGGATGTTGATAAGGGAAAAGGGAACAACAAAAAGAGCCAAAAGACAAAGAGAGAGGGTGTGAGTGATTAAAGATGTCAGCACGTTAGTTACTGAGCAAATAGGTTCAAGTTTGATCATCTACTGCAGCTGTAAGCAACATTTATTTATATTTCCGTTTAGGGTTTAATGACGCTTTAAGGGTTTGTTCTGCCTTTAAGATGTTATTTGACGTTTCTAACTATTTGCCAACTATGACAAAGTTACACATTAAACAATGAGTAAAAATGCTGATAATTTTATAGCTTCTAAACATGAAACTAGACTCTTACGTGGTTGTCTTCTCTTTGTTTTTTTTCAGCATCTGCTTTGTTTTCTTCTCTCCGGGGGTCTGTCTTGCTTTCGGTTTGCCTTCATTTTTTAATTTAGTCTCAGGTTGAGATACGCTGCAGGATGAGTCCTCGTTGCTCAGGGACTTTGATGATTTAAAAGGGTCTACGGAGTCATCAAAATGTTCTGGGTCGAAGCTGTACGAGCCCTTAGGGAGCACAGGAGAGCTGCTCATCGTGTTGTTGCTGCCAAATGGATTGAAGTTTGGATCATCCCACCTGCTGGGTTCAAAGTTGTACGTTCCAGCTTTAGGGATGGGTACATCATCCAGGTTCAGAGGAGCAGAGGAGTCTGTTGGTACTGGTTCTGAAACAGGATCTGATGCAGACTGGGGAGGGAAATTTGGCTCAGGGTGTGGTTCTGATGGTGGTTCTGGTTCAGGTTTGAAGGAAGTCTCTGATTCTTTTGCCTTCTGCTTCTTTGCCACAAGTTTGCTGCTCGTCCTTTTCCCTCCTAACTTCTTAGGAGGTGGCTTTTTGACAACGCCGTCCTCCAGACCAAACTCCAGCACCACAGGCTTTGACTCTGAAGTTGACTCTACTGATTCAGAATCTGCTTGTGCTGTTGAGTCATCCTCAGAGGCGGGTAATGAGCTGCCAATTGGCTCAAGCCTGGGGAGGGAGCTCAGACCACATGGTGGGGGAGAGTTCTGTATTTTGGATCCACCGCAGGTGAAGGGGTTAAAGCTATCGTTCAGCTGGTCAGGGTCAAAGTTGTAAGTAGCCTTGAGAACAGGAAGCTCTTGCTCCTCATCCGTTTGAGGAAGATGGTTCACTTTGTCTTTAATTTTCAGAGATGAAGGCTTGGCCTTAATAGTTTTAGTCTTTAGTGTAGGACTGTCAAGGCTGGGGAGGGCACCCTGCTGTTCCTCTGGATCAACCAAACGCTTCTCCTCTGGGAGCTCTGAGGCAGATGAGGTGGCTGGTTCACTGCTTGGTATTACACTTGGCTCTGGAACAGAGACTGGACCTGGAGCTGGAGCCAGCTCTGTGCTTGGATCTGCAGTATGGATGTGGTTTGTGTCTACGGACGGCTCAGAGAGGGAACCTGTGCACTGAGCCACCTCCTTCCGTAAGGACAAATCAGAAACGGGCAAAACGTCCAAATCTTCTTGAGCCTCCTCTGTCTGGTCTTCAACCAGATTCTGAACTTTAATTTCAATTGGATTATCCGTGGGGTCTACAGGTTCATCCTGACCCATGGTGCTGCTCAGGGAAATATCCGGATCCCTGACAGGCACGGTCACAATCAGGTTCTCCTCCAGCTCCAACACTGAAAAACAACAACATCATTCACAAACCTGCAAAATATAAACATTTATGTTAGTGTCAAATGTCCTCCAGCCCATCTAAACTCACACGCAGCTGATATCTGATTGGTTCACCGAAAGCAGGTTAGTCACCAACCAACTGTTCCAGTTCCTGCTGTTGCCATGGTGATGTCTTACTACCAAGGCCATGACTTTTAAATGATGAGGTAATGAATCAGAAAATACCAAACAAAGGCAGCCATGATTTATCTTGTGTTTTGTCTTGCAGACAGCAAACAGAGCTGCTGCCATGGTGCAATTATGAGCTGGAGGGAACGTTTTGACACAACGGCATATTTTAGCGCACCTGTCATACTCGCAGCAATCATGTGTGTTGCTTAGAGACCACCAGGCCCCGTCCTTTCTACCAGTTTCACTCTGCGGTGATTCAAGGTCTATTTACACACTTGTTGCACTTGTGCAGCTCCTGTCAGGTCTTCGCTAACTGATGCTGAAAGAGTTGTTTGAAGCTAGAACAAACGTCAAATCCCTTTTCAAATTTCACTTTTGGAAAATGTTGATGGAGCCGTTTTACAGGAAGGATTTTGTTTCTGCAAAAAACTCAAACTGCCCTCACGTGCAAAGTACAACTTCTAACAAAGTTCCTAAAAACGTGCACTGACATGCTTTTTGTTTATCCTCTCCCCTCGCAGTGACCTCCGTCAGTGGCCACTACAAAGCAGCGCCGACCGACGCTTTTGTTCAACCTGCTGGATTCCAGAGCAAATGTTGTTCCCACACTCCTTTGCTACAAGCTCCTCCTCCTCGGGATTCAAACGGCAGTGTCAACGCATCAGATGAGATCGCACACCCAAAACCCACCAAAACCTCCACTCAGCTCACATACCAAGCATGCAGAACATATTTTGCAGCCTGCTCAGGTTAGATAAGCTACTTTAATAAAGCACTGCAATTGATTTATGGTTAAAAAATGGATACGAGTTCTTATTCAAAGCTGAAATGCTCGACAGGCCTTTAGGGACATTCACAACCCTCCTGCTGTCCTTGGGTCAAAATGACCCCAGAGGCCTCACTTTTAAGACGGTCATTTTGACCCAAGGGCAGCAGGAGGGTTAAGACTATCAAGCAGCCAATGAATCCATCATTTCAGCTCCCTCACAGAACGGATCCACCGATAATCACGTCAGATGTAATGGATTAACATAAAAGATAACTCCACTGACACGTTTTCTTCTTGTGTTGACGATAAAATAATCCAATCAGATTACAACATCTGAAGCTGCATCAAAAGACTCTCGTTTCCATGGCAACTATGAAATGGAAAACTGATCTTGAACATGTGTTGATTTTTATATATGGAGTCTTCAAATTGTTAATAAGAACCTCGAACTTCTCTGATGTGTTGCAGAGTCTTGAACGGTCTCTCGGCGTTTGGATTTTTTTTTAAACGTCTCCCTGCAGCGGCCTCGCTCGCTCACCTGTTTTGTCTGCATCGGTGTTGTTATTCTCCAGCTCTCCGGGGACAGTCGGAGGGGCGCGGACGGGAGTTACTGCCTCGGGAGTGTCAAAATGACCCTCTGAGTCCGAACTGCAGGACATTCAAAACAAAAGAAAGGAAATCGTTACATAAGGAGGAGTGATCGGATTACAAAGACCGAGTCAGGGACGGTGGACACACTTTATCACACGGTTCAGTTCTGAAAACAAGTGCCAGCTCAAAATCTACTTACAGCTTTAAAATTAACAAAGTCATCCCCACTGACTTACTGTTCAGTAATCAGACAGCACTTTTGTGTTAATGCAAACACAGATTTAATCTGTTTTAACTGCCCAATATGAAATAAACTTTACAATATTTTTTACGTATAACTGATTATGTTCATCAAATTATATTTTAGTTGAATTGTCAGTAATTTTATTCGAATCAGATTAAATAAAAAAACGTCTCCTCGTTTATTAACGGGCATTTTAGTTGAAATGCTAAAAAGTGAGTTATGCAGTTGCAAGAACTTTAAATTATTAATTTAAACAATAGTTTTCTGACAACTTAATACATTTTAACAATGACAGAATATTTCTTCTCAACTTCTTATTAGTTTGTTGTGCAAAAAATTGTAAAATAACAACAAAATAAATATGCAAGGATGTTGTATTGTATGATCTCTTCTTGGTCTGCTGCCTTCATACATCTTCTCCTACATGTCTCTGCGTGGGTGCAGCTACAGCGTGCGCTCTCAGGACATTATTACCTGCAGCGTTCCCTCAGTGAGGACTGAACTTCCCAAAAGGACCTTCTCCTACTCTGCTCCTGTTTCCTGGAATATCTTACAAAAAACATCTGAAGCTCTCTACCTTGACCTCTCTAAGTGTCTTTAAACATCTGTTAAAAACCAATGCAGACACGTTCCTGTTTTTAGTTTACATCGCCTTATAATATAACTGTTTTTGTTACATTTTTTAATACCATTTTTTTAATTTGTTCTTCTCAATTTGTATGCACCCTTTATGATTGTCTACTGTTGTCATCACTCTTTGTTCTTGTAAATGAGTCCCAGAGGCTCAATGGGATTAACCTGTATAAAAGAAAGTTGAATGAAGTTTATCAGATAAAAGGGATGCAATGACATGAAAGCATCACATTTTATAAATTTGTACTCACACAGAAGTTAAGTAAAAGTACTACATCGCATCCCTGCTTAAAAATAACCATGTTTCTGCTATGATCCTTAATCACAAAAAGAGTGGTGTTAGCTCATGTTGTCATAGTTTTAGTTTCCCCAAAAACCCCAAATTGTCTAGTTTTAAAGCAGGAAGTTAAAGACTCGAGTCAAATTTTAGTGTTGACATGGAAAGTTTTAGCTGAACTGAAGAACTAATATCAAACACCAAATCATTTGGGTTAAAATGTGCAAACAGGACTTGGATGTGTGGCTTTCTATATTGCACCTAATTCACCCAAAGTGTGTTTTGTTAACATCTGTGTCGTTTTCGTGCAGCTTGGAAACTTCTCAGAGCCAGAAGAAACAAGATGAAGTCAAACTTACAGAGGAAGAGGAAGTAGATGTAGGACAGCCTCCTGTTTCCGGTTACATTCTAAGAACAATGAAGCTTTAAATACACGCTTCATTTTATACATCTGTATACGCGTTCAAAGCTCATCTAAAAGTGCAACTTTACAGCCGCTATATCCAAATCGATCTGTTTGAGCTAATCACTTTCGAAAACCAAGACAGTCCAGATCAATATATTGATGACGGACACTGATACGGTATCTGTGAGTGTGAGCGTGTGGAGGGTTCAAACGAAATCAGCAAACAACTTGTGTTTGTGTCAAAGTGGAACAGAGGCCAAGATAAGGCCGATGAGAGGAGCAGACAGAAAGGTCTGAGTGACTCAAGAGTGTCATGTTTGTGTTGTCACTGGAAACTGTCTGAATTTGAGCACGTGTTAGAAATCAGGAGGTGCTGACGAAGTGAACAAGAACAAAATCATAACAGCTTCAGAAACACGATGACACATATTGATCCGTCGGCTTCATCGTTCATCCTGAAAGGTACATGTAATAAAGACACAGCTTGTAGTCTCAGGGCTCCAGCACATAACTTGCCTGCAGCTTTGAGATCTATCTTCCTCTTCTCTCTTTCCATATTGCTCCCTTTCCTCGCTGGCCTCCTGCTCCTCTTCATCCTCCTCTCCTTCTGCTCCTCGCACCGCCGTCCACGTCCATTTGGCCCATGACACTGGTGACAGCCAAGACATCGCTCCTTGAGATCTTCAACCTTCTGTTGACTCACCAGAAGCCGAGGACTGGCGCTTTCCTGCGAGACTCTAGCTCAGATTTCCACCCTGCCAGCACCTCACCTCCTTCCATCAGCTCTCAGCTTCACAGGGGAGGAAGGAGGCATCTCCTTCTTACTGAACACTCTGTTCCTTGGTGAGTGGAGCAGTTTTCTCCGTCCTCCCTTCTGCTTTTTCCAGTCGGGCTGACTCTCCCCTCCGTGGCAGAATACCTCAGCTCTGATCAGCTGGTTTCTCCAATGCTCTGCTCTCTCCTCCTCTGAGCCCCCTCCACCTCAGACCAGATCACAGACAGAGGAGCGAGTTGTGGGGGAGGAGAAGAGTCTGAATCTCCAAAACCGACTGCAGCTTCTCTTCGCTCTGCTAAACGACTTCCCCTGTGGTTGGAGGATGGTATGTTCCTGTCAGATCGCTCTTCCACTTTGACTGAGCCACAAAACAAACACGCACAGGGAGGAGGAGGAGGAGGAGCTGAACTGTTGGGGCTCCATGTTGTATAGTCCAGAGAGAGAGAGAGAGGTTAGGAATGTGGGACTGGATCTTAAAGACTATTCACCCCCCACCCCCAAGGCTGTTCAACAGTAAACTGTTTTCTCCTATCCAGTATCATACGGGCATGTCTGACCAGGGGAACCGGTTCTGTTGAGTCACCTCAGGAGAACCACCTGACTGGATTCAATTGTCCCAGATCAGACACAGAACCACTGATGATAATTAGTTAAAAATAGCTCCTAGTGATATTTACACATTGCACGTGTTCTGAACAATTTTCATTCAACCTTTATTTAAACAGGTTAGCCCCACTGAGCCATTGAGAGACCTGAAGAATAAACCGTGTGGAAGCACAAACATCACTTTTTTAAAACTTCCTGATGAAAGTTTGATGTCAAATGATGTTACAAACATCCATTAAAAACACTTTTTCAAATGCCAAGAAATAGCATCATTAAACACACAACTCATTTTTAATTGTTTTGGAAGTCATCTATAATAGAAATTATAAATATTTGTAAATTGCATGAACCGTATTTTCATTATGAACATATATTGAGTTTACAAAAAATAAGTTTCATGTTTTTCATTTGACCACAAATTCCTTTAAAAATGTGCCCCACCCCAAAAATAAATAAATAAATAAACAAACATTTCAAATTTCAGACCAACTTTGAATGGAGCAACAAAACACTGGAAAAACAAGACGTCTGCACTGATCTGCACAAATAATGTGACAAAAAAAAAAATCTTAATGTACAAAATGTGATTTATTTATTCATAAGACTGAGCTGAACACAGCTCCTCAGACTGAAGAAGTCTTTTGGATGAAAGACGAAACATTTTTAGAATTTTTTTTAATCTTTTGAACCCGTCCAGAGGACCAGACTTAACTTTTTTGTATTTTTCTACCTGGATTATTGAGCATGCATCAGGATAATACTGTAAAATGTGATATATTGATCCATAACAGGGAATGTCACAATCCATCAAAACTAACAAAACTAACGTGTGTGTGTATTTTATCAGCCTGATGTTCAAATCAGAACTTTGGTAATCATATCAGGGAGTACAACATGCTTTTTAGCGAGCGCAGTGGTGCAGTAGTTAAAGAAGGCAAGCCTGTGATTAAGAGGTCATTGGTTAAAATCCCCTAACATCAAAAATTTGGGGTGGGAAAGGTAGCATGCCCACCTTGCTCAAGGGCAATGCCCCCAGCTAATCTCCAAGCACCTTTAATAGCAGCCCTCTGTTCTGCAAAGTGGGTGGTTGCCTCAAAAAGGGCATCTGGCACTACAAAAATAAAAAAAATAAAAAACAATTGCCAAATCTCTGAAGAAGAGAGCAGCTAACACAAGAAATTAAAAACAGCATAGATTTATAGTAAACCAACCAGCCTGCTGTCAAATGTTAAAACAAGATAAATGTGAGATTTTGAAGAAAAACACAAAAGTGATCATAACTAAATCACATATTTTTTCAGTTGTTTGGAGACAAAAATCAACCCTGAGCAAAACTTTAAATGATGATTCTGCAGAGTAACAACAGCATCCCAGCAGCTGTCAGCGTGACTTTAGGTGTCTAAACGTAGACTCGTTGTCTGACTGAAAAATGTTGGACTGTATACCTGGATTACTGAGCATGGACTTTTGCCCCTTTTCCACTGTCACGGCGCGGGTCGGATATTTCCGGCTTGACGCGCGTTTGAGGTCTTTCCACTATTCCTGGGACCGGCTCGCCTCCCTAAATTCTGGCCCGGCTTCTCAAGGGGTCCAAGTGAGCCGAGCCGTGACGTCAGAAACACTGTCGGTCACTGATTGGTCGGGGGGAGGAGTCTGTGGAGTCTTTCCAAAAAACACGATCCGCCATTTTTTCTCTACGCTTGCCATTAGCGATAACTCGAGGAGCGTATCTTTTAGTATTTTGAAGCTATACAACAACAATATTATCAAAGCCGTGGTCAAATGCAGAAGTGCAGGTGTTGTTGTGCTTGGTGGCCGACGAAAAAAGTCAAAGCGAGCTAGAAGGAGGATTGGAGGGTGGTTTGGACACGGTTACTGCTCTACTTGAATCATAAAGTTGTTCTTCCTTGGGCTTCAGCCGTGTTTGTTGTGCTTCAGCTCTGCAGCGTCAGAACTGGTTGCAGAGCCGCAGATAAAATCTTTCTAAAGTTTCATCAGGGAGCAAAGACACAAAACCTCAACCAGACTCAAAGTTTCCACATTGGACAAGAAGGGTGGAGTTGGGGCTCTGCCCTGTTACACGCTGGTGAAGCTGGAGTGACAGAGATCATTGCACTTAATGACTGTGTGCACTTTTAGATCAAAGACGGGTTCCCAAAGGACGACGTCATGAACTGCTGAGTCCTGAGTTTGTTCATTAAATATTTTGTTTGACCAAAACCACAAATGAAAAATTAAAAAACTTTTAACGATGTGATGATTGCTTTGCTGTTTTTTTTTTAAATAAAATAGTAAAACACCGAGCTCCCTTTTGTTTTCCTTCTCTAAACTTCTAGCCCCTGTGGACCTGTGCCTGTTCTTGTCTAAAACTGGCATCAGTAAACATCAGCGGGCAGAAAGAGGCAGCTGTGTGCGTCCCCTGATAAAAGACCACCCTATTCCTAAAAGCCTGCTCTGCCACCAGCACCACAAACCTCAGAGCTCCTGCCAAAACGTCTGACGCTGCACCAAAATCCAAACATCTCAAAAGAGCTCAGACTTCAGGCACAGTTGGAGGACTCACAAAACTCAGTTTTAAGAAAATAAAGTCTCTGAAGAACACACGAGCCCAACCTGACCTTTGCTTTGATTGTTCCTCAGCTGAATCAAAATGAATCAAATCCTCCTGCTCTAAATGTTCCCGATGATCCGTCACACGTGTTTAGTTTCTGTGTCTGAAATAACGAAGGAATAAAAGGTGACACTGAGGTGGAAACAGTGCAATAAACACTCACTGTAAACAGAGGAGGAGACAATAGGGGAGCTGTGTGATTATGTAACAGGCCTTCCTAAAATAAGTCTAGGTGGTTCTGCCTCGGATATTTACAGCAAACTCACTGATGGAACCAGACATACCGGGAATTAATAGATGTGTATAAAGAATGGGATATAAATGTCCGAGGAAGAAGAGCTGTCAAGAGGAGGAGGAGGGAAGTTTATAAAATCTGATGACAGAAACAGTTATGAGTGAACGAGGAATGAGGGAGAGGAGGGGGACGAAGAACATTTTAGTCTGTGTCAGCAGAAGGAAGTTCTTACTTCTGCCTCCTGAGAGAAACTAATCCGTCATCCTTCAAACAGCAAACACATGGGACGCAGACAAGAACACAGAAATATCTCCTCAATACCCACAAAAAACCACAAGTTATCTCTTCGCGTTCTCCCAGAGTCGAGTTAATTTCATCTCAAATCCAAACTTTTTTTGTTTTGTTTTGACTGCCATGTCATTTTTCACAATTAGATGTGCTTCACTGGCCTCTGGTGGTCAAAGAATGTACTAATACCCAGACAGTGAATATTACAAGAAAAGTTCATGAAAACTTCTTGTGATCACAAAAAAGGAGGGACTGAGAAGATTAAGTTAATATGGAAACCAGACCTTTTAGCATTTTACTGTATTCTATGACTTGAACTTAATGATATTTAAAAGAAAATGTTTTTACTTCTACTCAGATTTTGTTACTATACAGACCTGCAAACTTTGACATGTGAGTTCAAACTAGGATATAGCAATATATCAAAAAGCCATTGTCATCACAGTATCAGAGAGCGTTAAATATGTTAAATAAACCGAAGGTGATGCTGTTTTCTAATGGGAGATTTGAAAGTAAGGATCTTCCAGTCATTAGCTGAAGGTCTGAAAATTGAAAAAGTATCACAGTATAAATATTTTGTATTAAAAAAAAAATGATCATTGTCTTTTACTTCCTACATTCAACAGCTGGTGAAGAAGCTGAGATTGAAATTGGGATTTTATTTGAGGATCAGATCCTGTCTATCTATTGAGGCTAGAAAGCGACTGGTTGATGCTACTTTTATGTCTGTACTGGACTATGGTGACATTTTATACAAGCATGCTTCTATTAAATGTCTTTATTCGCTGCTGTTTATCATGGAATTTTAAGATTTATAACAGGTTTAAAAGGTTTTATACATCATTGCACATTATACAAACAGGTTGGATGGACGTCCTTCATTTGCAACTGGGTTAGATTTCTTAATAAACAGACCTGTCAGTGAGGATCCACAACTTTTCCTCCTCCACTATAACCCTCAGCACTGGCTCTCCTCAGGGATGTGTGCTGAGCCCCCTCCTATTCACTCTGCTCACATATGATTGTGCACCTACCCATCCAGGCTGTCACATTGTAAAGTTTGCAGATGATACAGCGGTGGTGGGATGCATCACAAACAATGATGATCCTACAGGCAGGAGGTGCAACACCTGGTGAGCTGGTACAAAGTGAATAGCCTTCACATCAAAGTGAAGAAGACAAAAGAGATGATTGTGGACTTAAGAAGAAACAAACCCCCCCTGAAAATAAGAGGATCTGCGGTGGAAGTGGTCTCCAGCTACAAGTACTTGGGTGTACACATGAATGACAACCTCAGCTGGAGCAACAACACCACCAGCCTGATCAAGAAAGCTCATCAGAGACTCTACTTCCTCAGACGGCTGAGGCGAGCTGGTCTGGGAAGCTCAGTCCTCACCTCCTTCTACAGGTGTGCAGTGGAGAGCATCCTGTGCTCGAGCATCAATGTGTGGCATGGAGGCTGCACAGCTGCAGAAAGAAAAGCTTTGCAGAGAGTGGTGAAGGCTGCACAGAAATCTGTTGGAGTCAGTCTCCCCACCATCACAGACATCTACACCTCCAGATGCAGGAAGAGGGCCACCTGCATCATGAAGGACCCCACCCACCCAGCACACACACTTTTTGCCCCACTCCCCTCAGGAAGGAGGTTAAGGAGCATTAAGTGTAGAACCACTAGACTGAGGAACAGCTTCTACCCTGAGGCTGTTAGACTCATGAATCTCTGACTAGAATAATCACTGTGAAAGGCCATATCATGTTGCTGCTGATCTGTTTCATGTTGCTGCTGATCTGTTTCAATGTTGGTGTGTTCATGCGTGCACATCTGCTCACAGACTCATGTTCATGTTTGTGGTGATGTTCAATGTTTTATGTTATGAGTGCTTAGTGTATATTTAGTTGATGTTTTTCTTGGTTCATGTCTTAGATGTTATTACTGTTTTTCTTACACATTTTATTGTTGGATGTAACTGGGACCCTGTGTACATAATTTCGCTCCACCACATGTACCACATGAGGTGCGAATGACAATAAAGAAACTCTGACTCTGACTCTGATTAGGACTTCTTCCTTAGTATTTGTTGACCTTTATAAAGAGAAAGTCCACCGGAGGATACTCTCTTTGTTGTGAGAACTTATTTGGGGAGAACTTATTGGGGATTGGTGGCGCAGAGGTTAGAGAAAATGGACCTGTCATCGGAAGATCGCCAGTTCAACACCCAGTACCGACAACATCAAAAATGTGGGTGGGGTAGGTGAAGCACCCACACCTGCCCCCACCCTCATTTGCCCCACTCTGGGCCCATGAGCAATGCCCTTAACCCCATCTGCTCCCTAAACAAGTCTCTCTTGAAAATGAGTTCTTGTGGCTCAATGAGGCTACCTGTATAAATAAAGGGTAAATAAAAATAAAAATAAACTTTTGATGCCTAAAGTCCGAACTGAACTTGGAAAGAAATTTTTTCAGTTTTCTGCTCCATCTTCAAGGCACCAGTTGCAGAAATACATTAACCTAAAGGCGCTGCTGTCACTAAATGTTTTTAAGGCTGTTCTGAT